TGGGGGGTGCTGATTTTTTTAATTAACTAAATACAAAAACACAAGGAAAAATTATAAAAGGGGGGAAGCTGCCAAAAAAAAAAAAACACCATGTATATTTACAGAGATCCAGATATCAATAAATTGAAGCCATGATTTATGAATCCTCACCCATTTTTAAACAAGATGTCCCACTTCATTTTCACCAAATTCTCCAGGGACATGATAAGCAGCCCACATACAGGAATACAGAACATGGACCTACATGCCACCAAATCATGTTCATTTGCAAATTTGTCCTGTGGATGTCGGTGCATTCGAAGAAAGGCTTTGTGAGAACATTCTTGTAATTAACAGAAGAGAAGATCTTATAGCTCAGGGTTGAACGGTGGAGCCCTTGGGCTTCTCTGAGCTGGCTGTTTTCTTGCAAACGTTTCATTACCCAGCTAGGTAACATCTTCAGTGCTGAAGATGTTACCTAGCTGAGTGATGAAAGGTCTGCAAGAAAACAACCAAGCTCAGAGAAGCCCAAGGACTCCACATGTTTGTAACTGCTTTATTATTTCACATAAAAGATAAAGCACCCAAAGCCAACTAAAAAAACAACAGCCCAAATTAGGGGGGGGGGGAAGTACCCCCAACTGAGTTCTGTGCATTCCAGAATAAATAGTAAATAATAAAAATAAGCTCCTCTGAAACATATCAGATAGCTCTGAAATATAAGCCATTTGATTATTTTGTTCGTTTTATTATATTTATTATATATTATTTGTTGTTGCCTATTTGTGCTATAAAGAAAGTCCTTACTGGAAAAGGATCTATTTGCATTGACAGCTCTTCAGTGTGAACAACTGTGCACGATCAAAGATCCTCACGTTCTGTGATAACAGGGGCTGCCAATTCAACCATGTATACTTGTCGCCTGTGTACAACTTTTTGCTGGATATTCACTTTTACACCGGACTCATAGGAAAGAAAGAAGGCAACATTTGATGGAGACGCACCGCTAGATCACACTCAAGAAAGCATTCGACCAAAATTAAATCTATCACCCCATGGCTTTGCAGGATGCAGGAACCCAGCTCCTTCCAGTAGTGAACTGAGATTGACTCACCAGTCGAGTGTTAACCACGGGAAACAGGAGAGCCAGGAGGGCCCCATTCAGCATGTTCATTTGCAACCTACCAAAAAAAATATATATATACAGTGTCACCTTTGCAGCATAAGGGCATCTGTTTCAGGCCTTCAGAACAGTTGCAGCGGGTTCTAAAAGAAGGTTGAACCAGGGATTGCCATGAGAAGAATGAATCTGAAGGACCATCAACACACCCATCTCCTATCCAAAGGTCAGCTTGGAAGCTGGCACCTTTGGTTGGGCTGGTGATGCTATCTGAACCCCAAATGGAAGGGAGCAGGAAGAACAGAAAGGAAGGAAAACAAAAGTCCATTCCTCATACTACCTCACAGAGTGATGTGCAGGGAAAAATGGGAGGAGGGAATATTGTAGATTAACTTGAACTCCTGGAAGCAGAATAAATATCTAAATAACAATGATATTGGGGAAATAATTTGGGGGATTTCTGGCATACCCGGCAGCGTAAATAGCACATAAGGTTTTTTTAAAAAACCAGAATGAGTGACATAGAGTCCAACTCAACTAATTTTTTTTTCTAGAAGTCACATTTACAATCACTTTTACACAATTATGCAAAGGCAAGTCTGAATTCTCCAGTAAACCCTTTCATTAAATTGTTGCAACTGGCCATTTCCTCTACATTAAGCCTGGGTTCACACATCGTACTAAACTGTAGATTAACTTGAGTTGGCTGGTTTTGGTTTGTAAGATTGTGTGAGCCCAGGCACTGTGGTTGGTCAACACAGAGCAATGTGCGAAACCAGCCAATTGTGGACTTTTCCAAAGCCATGATTACAAAAATGATGGCTTGGCATGTGTGATCCTTGTTCATATGTGACACTAAACCATGAATTATGGCTTAGGAACCACACAATCTGAGTTCGCACCATACAACCCGAAACAAGTAAGACCCACAGTGATATAGCATGGTGTATCCATCTTAATCTCTACTCCCTTGTCTTCTTCCTGTTTGTCCTGTCTGCACTATGCTTCGCCAACACAACAAAGGCATCCATGCATAATGCAATGGGGTTTGTTGCAGAGCCTGAGGCTGTTTGGGGAAGAGAGGGAGGGATGGTCCAAAGCCCCCCAGGGAGATTCTGTGGCTGGGGGGAGACTAAAACCTGGGTCTTCCCACGGATAGTCCAGCACCTTCCCCACCAAGCCACACTGGGTCCCCTTAGAAAGTTGTTGCTCCTAGGGCTGTCCTGTTTAGTCACCGGGGCTCCTTGTTTTACACAGGACTTGCCTAGCCCTCACAGTGAAGCTTGTCAGTGCATGATGCAATGAGGGGGTTTGTCTCTCACCTAGCTTGTCACAAAGCCCGAGGAGGAGGACTGGGACGGAATGCCTGGCCCAAGATCGCCCAGCTGGCTTCTGTGCCTCAGGGCGGACCAGAACCAGGGTCTCTCTGCTCCTTGTGCAGCTTCTTCACTGCTACACCCCACACTGGCTCTGGTAATCTCTACTTACTTCTTTGGGAGGGGGGAGAGATGCCTTTGAGTCAGCCTTGACTCCTGGCGACTGCCTGGACAAGTCCCTGCAGTTTTCTTGTCAAGATTTCGGAAGTGGTCTGCTGAGAGAGAGGGACTGGCCCAAAGTCACTCAGCTGGCTTTGTAACTAAAGTGGGACTCACAGTCTCCCAGTTTCCAGCCTGGTGCCTTCACCACTACGCGAACTGCTCTTTTTTTCACCATCTGCTGTCAGTCAAGTCCAAATCCAAAATTTTACCGGCTCAGTCCGACAGTATGCTTCTTAAACGACTAGGGCAAAAACAGCACATGCACTTCGATTCTGAGTCATCTTAAGAATTTGAGAAGTAAACCTATGTGCAGAGGAATTCAGCTCTGGCCTTGAGAAGGGAGTGGCAAAGGGGAAGTGGATGCTCAGCTGTGAGAAAGCAGAGAGCAGGAAAGAGAGACTCAGAACAGTCCCATCTTGACCTTGTTGTCCTTTAAAAGGAGACAGTGAAGATCTGGAGAGGCTTTCAAGATTCATTAATGACCCCATCACAATAAAGCAGCATTCCTGGAGCCCCAGCCATTTCTTGTTTCTTGATCTGGCCTACCTCCAAGGGCTGACATTAGGGTAATAACCCAACGTCATCCCTTCCTTGCTCTGAAGACCATCTCCTCATACGTTCAAGGCTCAGTTAGCAAGATGGCTTCTTAAAGCACAGCTCTTTCCCAGGAAAGAGCTAAATTATATACAATCAGATCTTCTTGCCATGGCAGATGAGTTTCTTAGATGAATTACTCTGTGTTTTACCCCTCAGGATGCCAACCTAGGGAATTCTTATCGTGTACCTCCATCAGGGGCACCCACATGGAGGGTCCACAACACATGGTGTCACCCCAAGCTTGTGGGGTACCCCTGCCATCCCAAGCACTTCCAAAAGTTGTGACCCAATTGCAATTGTTAATGTAACAGAAGGGGAAATCCCTATTTGCGGGGGAATCAAAAAGATCAATGTGTAGAGCGTGAAGGTAGAAAGGTGGGATAGAAATCAAATAACGAAGAAGAGAACCATCCACAGGGACAAACCACAGGAATCAACGTTGCTGGTCGATGTTCTTAGATGTAAAGTGTGGGCCACCAAGCCACAGATGCAGTCATTGTTCAAACAAACGATTAGTGTTAACTCACTTACCTGAATAGAATCATTGTGAAATGGCAGGGTGGACAAGCCAATAGAAAAATCTGAAATTTAAACAAACAATCAAAAAGAATTAGCATCGTGGTCTTTTTATTTATTTATATACATAAATGCAGAGAGAGAGAGAATGCTTGAAGAAACGATTCACATTTTATTTTTAAAGCGCTCGATTGGAAGTTTAAAGCATGCAATGAGTACTTATCAAATATTCCCTTAGGAGTATAGATACTCTATGTTGACATCCAGGAGGAGCAAACTTCATTTTGACAGGCAGCAAAATGCCTATGCTGTAACCCAACATTGATGGTTCATTCCCATCTACCAATTCTCTCTCTCCTGCAGTTGTGCGAAAAAGCAGAACCAAGATTGAATGACTGCTTAAGTCAACAAGCAAGCAAGCTAACAAAAATGACATCTTTCAAATAGTTCTTCTGTGCCACTTGTCAGAATGATCACCTAGGAGAGACTTAAAAAGCAACACCTTCTTGGTATGAATGTACCTAGGCTATCTTCACCTAGACCTGGGGTCCCCAAACTCTTCAGCTCATCAACCCCTTCATGAAGTTTCAGATGGTTCACCGACTCCTATACTACTTTAACTAATAGTAATATGAATAATAACAACAACAACATCGACCTTGGATAGTCCCATCGACCCTTGGGGGTTGATATTGACCACTTTGGGGAACTCTGCTCTAGATAGTCAGGTACAGTCACAAAGGAATTTGGTGACCCATTTATTTCAACCAAGAATGACCTGGTTTGTTTATTTATGACATTTGTCAGGAGCACTCATCCAAAATGATTTGTTATCATAAACGTAGCACGGCACCTCAACTTCAAACTTGTTCAAGGAAATGCAGAACTGGATCATCTCCATGAAATGCTTGTTCAGACCTCCAGCAAAGAAGAATCCACAGCTCAATGAGGAAACTGATTTTGTGGATCAAAATTGCGCATATTATTCAGAAATGTCTTCTAATATCAGCTTCTGACAGCTACTCTTCCACAATAGAAGCCCAACTGATCTAAAATTATCTTCACTGGACTCTTTTTGTCAAACTCCTACTTTCTTCACCCTCTATGAGTTCATTCTAAATCAGTTATAACTTCCATAATGTACGGGCCAGAAATTAATGTAGTCTGCCCAGCTGCCAGAAATCACTGCCTAAAGAGACTCTATTTCTAAAGTCATATTTCTTTTAATTATTCCCAAACTCTACCCCCGAAGACGACAAAATTATGGGATCCAAACATAGTAAGCTACAAGGCAGTTTGTCATATTTTGCCTTAGTATGTTGTCTAAACCCAATATTTGAAGCTTCTTTAATAAACCATGAATTATTGAATAGAGGCTGGGTTGATGCATTATGCTGAGCCATAGCTTTTAATCTACTGCTCCTGCCCCTCCCTTGCCTCCACGGTGACCAATATATGCCTTTCTGCTTCTCCAGAAAACCACCACCTTCTGAGCCTTCAGCCCTGCACCACGGCCTCCCTCCAAGCAACATTACGCCTTTGGGTACATCAGGAAGAGCACTGCTGACCTAAACAGAACCTATGGGTAAATATTCCTGGCTGACAGTGAGCTGGAACCCTGGGGGCTAAGACCAACTTACTGCCACTTTGGCAATTCAGCCCCCTTTACAGACCAGAGCAAGTCCAAAGGGCACTCTCGCTTCTGCTGCCAATGAAACCAAGCAGGGTGTCATGGTGCCCACCTTTTGGAAAACATAACAGCATGTTGCTTTTCTAGCTGAATCAACATTGCAGTCAAAGTAGTTTTGCCCTGTTTGTTCATTGTCAGAGAGGCTCAACTGTCTCTGCCAAGGTTGGTAAGAGAGACAGAAGGAATTATGGCAGAAAACACCACCCAACAATTCAATGAAACCAAACATGGCACATGAACTGTGTACTTTTAGGGCTGAGGCACCCAACTGAGGACAAGTCTTAAAAAAGACTGGATGTGGTCCTAACTTGAACAATTTGAGTAACACAAAAAGGATAATACTTTATTAAGAAGACAAAAGGTGCTGATTGAAAGAAATATTTGCCCAAGCCAACTGTGCTTGAAGGCATTTCATAACCCTTCTGGCAGTTTTATATCACAACACAGAACGGCTAGTGCGCTTGAGAAAGTAACAAGATCCCCAGGACTTGGCTGACTTGTGCAAAAAGGAGACAAAAAAGAGAATTCTGCTCATGTTGGTCACAACTTGCCTATGATCTTAGAAGCAGTTGTAAAAACGTAGTGGAGGGGCCGGGCTAGGAGAGGGGAGACTCAGATTCTGTCCTCCCTCAGCCCCAGAAGCGCCCGGGGGGACTTTGGGCCAGTCCAAAGAGATGAAGGTATCTCTCCTGCCAGGTAAGCCCAAAATGCAAGATTGTGGTTGTGGAGGAAAATAGAGCCTTCAGCTCCTTAATGAAAGTCAGGATAACAAATAAACAAACAAACCATAATTGCTTGGGCTGTCACCACTTGCTAAATCCTAATCCATGGTTAACAACCACAAGGGATGGAAGGACACAGTTCACTTAACCCAAACCAGATGAACCACCTCTAGCTAAGGGCAAAGTCTGGATGAGCCTCGCTATAAAAATGCACCCTGCCCAATTGTTCAGAAGTCAGCTCCACTGAGTTCAATGGGAGAGATTCCCTGCTAACCTGTGTAAGATCTGCAGTTGAAGGTGACGGGGTTTTGCCATCTCCCCTATCTTTGGAGGCTTGGTTGGGTTAGGGTTAGGGTTAGGCTAAGCCCTTTCTATTTAACATATGGGTGTGGTAGCCCCCACACACCCAATCAGCTTTGCTTGGAAATGGCCAACCGTTGAAGAGCACACCCGCAACTTGCCAGCGGCAGGTGGGCCATGGATCTCAGAAGGCTGGCTGGCTGGCTGGCTGGCTGAACCCCGGCACAAGGAGGAACAGACAACGAAGCACTGCCCTTTTCTTTTGTGTGAATGTGGTTTCACAGCCGTCGCTAGGTTTCAGCTCCAGGCCCACGGAAAGACTTCTCTGGGGAGCTGCGAAATTCCCCGCGAGAAGTTTCAAACACACTCCCTGCTCCTTTCAAGCCCAAGTTCTCCAAAGCTGGGAGGGTGATTTGAGGTTTTGCAATAAAGAAACTGCAGAATCAGGCAGCCAGCCAAGCAGCTGCTGCCGCCGAAGCATGAAATGTGGAGAAGGGACAAAGGTCAAAAGGAGTGACCAGGGCATTCCCGGGACACCGAGCTGCGTGATTTCTGCCCTGCTGCTGCAAGAGAAAGCCAGGGAGGGAGGAAGACCCAAAGCTCACCCTGTTGCTCTAGGAAAGAAGCCAGGGGTCTCTTTGCAATTTTGAGAACGGGTGGTGGTCACACTCGCAAACAGATGGGCTTCCACATGCTGGTCGCCAAACATCTGTTTTCAGAAGGAGAACCGTCTCATTCGGACGCTATAGTCCTCCCTAGGGCTCTGGGGCCCCAAGGCCCTGATGCAAATTCATACAGAAGCTAGAAATGGGTGTGTTGCTTTGCAGTGAGCCAGCTTCCTTAATTCCTTTTTTATTATTCTTACGAAGAGAATCTGATTTAGAACAGGTGCTGCCTCCATACCAAAGAGCAATGACGGGCAAGGTACAAAATCCTTCATTCTCCTCCCATTAAAATAGCAAGCCTTCTGTGGCTGCTAACTCTGAAATTAATGAAGGGCTCCGCTTGATTTGTGGCTTTTCACAGCCAAGGTTGTTTTCCATTGTTGAGTAAAAAAATCCAACATCTGAGATGCGCACTTCTGCAAGCAGTTAATCCTTGCTCGCACGTTCTTCAGCTTGAACACCCATGTGGGACATGCTTCTATATATAAAAGAGTAAATCACCTCCAGAAGTTCTCACACACAAGCTGTCGCTTAAGGGTTTTGTCAGAGGAAGAAGGCAGGGTGTCACTTATTTTAGGCTGATATTTGCAAGACATGATGTCCCTGTGAATCATTTTTATTTTGCCCTTTTTGCGAAATAACACACCGGCACAATTGCGTTTCAAAATGGCTGATTGGAAATGACAAGGAGTTATTTTAAGATGCCAAAGGTAGAGCAGGTTCTTGGTAATTATTTGTTAATATTTTGGTGGCAACTACAGTGACTAGGCACTTTGTGTAAAGCAGAACTTCTCTCAACAAAGGGAAATGACAGCTCTGTCGTTAGAAAATATCCTATACACAATCTTTTTCTAGAAACTCACTTATTTCTAAAATATTAGTCCCCTGTAGCAGATTGTGTATATGGTTAAGCATTGTGAAAAATGGAAAACAACTGGCTGGAATTTGTTGGATCGTAGGGAATAGTTATATTGTAGATTTCAGTTCTGAAAGATTGCACAAGGTGGTTACGTCTTAAAAAAAACAACTCACAAAGAGTAGGCCATGGAAATTATTATTATTATTTAATTAAAAATTAATCTAGGACAGACATAGGCAAGTCATCCCCATGCCTGCCAAAATTGACAAAAATTAAATTAAAACTTTTCAGACATCTTGGGAGCTCGTAACACCTTGCAAGCTGTATTTATGGATTGATTGATCGATCAATTGATTGCATTCATATCATGTGACTCCAGACAGTTGAAAATGATCTAATTAGATTTCCATGTTCTAATGCAAAACTTCATCTGTTTGCTCAAGAAATTAAAATGTGAGGAATCTTGGCAGTTTCATGTGCAAACCTGCATGAAATCAAATGACATGACACTTTAGCCATTTCTTATTATTATTATTTTGGGGCAGGGGTCCCTAGACCATCTCCCTGAGTCTGGGATGACTAAAAAACAAACAAACCCCACAGGTGCAAAATTCTAGCTATAATTTTCCTCTTAATTTGAAGTTTCCAAACAGTCTTGAAATTTATCGTCTTCTTGTTCTCTTTCTTAAGCTAAACCTCCACGACTTCTGCAGATTTTCCTTGGCCTCTCTCTGGTCCGTGGTTTACTCCAGAACCAGAACCAAACCCAGTCCTTCCAAGATCTGGTCTTCTGAACATTAGCACAACCAAGGTCTCCAGTTGCTCCAAT